AAGTGCCGCCTGTCCCTCCGCCTCGCTGTATCTCGGATCCGCACCGACGGGACGATCGGAAACAGACCGCTTCCCGATCCAGGAATCCAGCGATCCAGCGATCGAGCCGGGCCGCAGCGGGCGGGGCTGCAGCGCTCCGACCTTCCTCTCGCTCCTCTCGGTCAACAGCGGCGCCCGCAGCCTCCTCCCGGCACTGCACGCACCGAGCGCGAACGAGACATGCCCGCCCTGCCTTGAGCACGGGAAGCTCAAAAAGACGGAACATTCGCCGCGGAAATGTCGGGTCCAGTACAGCGGAGACCTGGCGTTATGTTTTTTCTACCGCATGGGAAAATTACTTATGGGATTGTGATAATCTATAGATACAAAGGTCTCTTAATATGGCGTGCAGAGTATTATGAATCTGCTATTCCATAGTAGGAAAGGACAATATCTTCCCTGCAACTGCAGAGCTTTTTGTGTCATTCGTTCTCTTTTTTTTCGTCTCCGAACGTCAACACTCGAACACCTCCAGCCACAGTAGATTCCCAGACCCAGAGTAATTGCACATAGCAGTGATGAAGATTCCTCCCCAAAAGCAGCCATTCTAGGGACTGCCCTTCCCTCTCTGCTTTTTTACTTTTCACTTGCATATCCGAGGCTGCTCTAAATCAGCCTGCATTGCTCTCCTCCAAATAGAACTTCCCAATTTTTTATTACACCCTAAACATAAGGCTCTGCTTTTGCATACAGCTTAGTGCTCCATTCTTGATCACAGCCTTAGCGAGAGATGCTATCAAGCAAGGAAGGTATAAACTTGGTGACAAAAAAGATGAAAATGAAACACAGGTTAGAACCAAAGAAAGCACAAGCAACAAACGAACCAAAACCAAAAGATGCGAATTTGTTTCTTAGATCACATTCAATCTCTGTAGAAAAGCCAGCTGAGGAACGGTAAATAAGAAGGAACCACCAAACTCTGAATGAGAAATAATCGCAGAAAGAGAACAAAGAAATAAAGCTCCAATAAAATAAACTGATCTCACTACAGCTTGCCATTTCTGTAGCCCACTTACACCAAAAATAGGACGGCACGGGGTGGAAGGTAGGCATATTCCTTAGGGAAGAACAGCTGTCCCTTCCTCTAGCAAGTTTCCTTAACATTCGGAAATAACAAACGAACAGGTCAGTACATCTACACGGTAAAGAAGGATCAGGAAGGTAAAATCTCATTATTGAGCGTCAATCGAATTGCCAACTCCACCATGCGGAATTAGCAGATCTCTTTCTAAGATCTAAGTATCCACCTTCACCTGGACTAACCCATAATATTTCACACAACAAGGTTTGCAGAAAAACCTGAGCAGTTGAATGAAGAAGTGCTGTCACTACATTACTGCTCTGAGAGAAAAATTAATAAAAGCAAAACTGAAAGCAGACAATTCCAAGTCATCTACTGTTTTATGCAGTATAAGTTGATCGACAACAACCTCCCAAATGAGCCGAAATCTGTGACACCTCATGAGGCAGGAAGTGCCGGTTCGCAACGCCTGATGCCTAAAAACGAGGCAGAGTTATTACCCGCGCCTGTGGAAACAGCTACAGGCACTAATTGCACCCGAACATATACAAACCCCAAGAGCCCACTGCCTCATGCATACCCTTAGGAAAAGCTCAGAGAGAAGGCGTGAAGGGGCTTACAGACCTGCAGTGCGTCGGTGTCGGCGGTCGGCTGTTCCACGACGGCGCTGCTGCTCAGACTCGGCTTCTCGCAGGGCTCCCCGGCCACAAGCTCCTCCGCGGGCACGATGGGCAGCGGCGGCGGCGGCCAAGCGACCTCGGGGTCGGAGCGAGGCGGCGCCGCCACGCACAGGTTGTAGGAGTAGGGCAAGGTGCCATCGCAGAAGTCGGCCGGGAAGGC